TGGACAAAGAAGAATACGTCAACAAAGCCGAAGAACTACTCAAAGATAAGAGCACATACAAACTGATGGACACAAATCCCGTCAAAAAATTAGACAACCAAATCTCAAAGACTTTAAACAAGCTAGTCAAAGCAGGAGAAATAACAAAACAAGACCAATGGAGAATGAAATCCAGTGGACCAGTACTCCCTCGATTCTACGGCAGGCCCAAAATACACAAACCGAACATTCCACTACGTCCAATAGTAGCACTCCCTGGAACGCCAACGTACAATTTGTCAAAAGAAATTTCACGAATACTGAGACATCTAGTAGATTCAGCCAAACACTCCATCAAATCCCCAACACAATTCTTGGACCAAATTAAGGACATTCAAATCAACAACGACGAACTCATGATATCCTTCGACGTAACAGCACTGTTCACCTCAATTGAACCACAGTTAGCAAAAGAAACTATATCCCTGCTACTCAACAACGACACAAATCTCACCAAATACACGACGCTTCAAATTCAAAGTCTACTGGAGCTCATCGATTTATGCCTAACAACATATTTTCAATTCAACAACAAAATCTACAAACAAACAAAAGGGACACCAATGGGATCACCAATATCAGGACTGATCGCAGAAGCAGTGATGCAAAGACTAGAAGCCACGATATTACCAGTGATCAAGCCAAAAATTTGGATTCGCTACGTAGACGACACCTTCGTCATCGTCAAAAAGGATGAACTGGAAAACACATACAAATTGATCAACAACGTCTTCAATGACATCAAGTTCACAATGGAACAGGAGTCAAACAACCAACTAGCATTTTTGGATATATTGATCACTAGAACTGATACAGGAAAACTGGAAACTCAAGTATATAGGAAACCAACCCATACAGATCAAATTCTCAACTACAACAGCAACAACCCAAGGGCTCACAAAATCAACTGCGTACACACATTGTTCAAGAGGGTGGGGACACACTGCAGCACACTGGCAGCACGAAGAAATGAAGAGAAATACCTGAAGGACATATTTCAAAAGAACGGCTACCCAATCAACTTCATCAAAAAGCACCAACGGCACACAGCATCACAACCCAAGTCAAGCACAAAAATCAGCAAAAGGATCACCCTACCGTACATACAAGGAATATCAGAAACTGCAACGAGACTGCTGAAAACCTTCGGGATAGGTGTGGCACACAAACCAACAAAATCACTACAATCAATCTTATGCAAACCAAAAGATGAAATAACAAAGGAGAACAAATCAAACATTATCTACAAAATAAATTGTACCAACTGCGACAAACACTACATCGGACAAAGCGGACGTCCCCTCCACCTACGCCTACATGAACATCAATTAGCAGTCAAACGCCATGATATCTCTTCACTTATTTCAATACACGTGGATAACTACGGACACTCATTCGATTGGGAAAATGTAGAAATCTTAGACAGAGGAAACTCCAAAAACACCAGAGAATTTCTAGAAGCCTGGCACTCAGGTCAATCAGCAATCAACAAACATATTGAAATCAATCCAATTTATCAACCAATCAGGAAAATCATGCATATATATAAGAACAAAAATCAAAACAATGGGAGACACAACCAAAACAAAGAAGTGAACAATGATAAATTTAAGGTCAACAAGAACCAATCAACATCGAGGTGCACAGAACAAGCTGTGAAACACATAAGGAGAAAATCGAACACTTCACTTCTATCTGAAGTTTGTGCTGATGATGTCGTTCAGAAGAACGATGAAAGCTCCACGACCAAACCATCCAGCTCAGAGAACAAAACTCCATCAAGAAGTGGAAGAATGCTCGTACAGAGTTAGGAACTCGAATGCTAAATGGCGAAACGAATCTTACGACTAAGGGTTTTCGGGTAGTCAGATCTTGGGAGCCAATGCTTTCGAGGCCTGTATGGGTAGAACGAATGATTCCCAAAGCATCTTAAAAGTATGCTACACGAACGCCCGTAGTCTTCGAAATAAAACGTCCGACCTAAGTTTGATGGATGAATCAAGTCCCGATATAGTTGTCGTTACAGAAACTTGGCTCACCGTAGATATAGATTGTTCTCCCATCATCGCAGGTTACATCTGTATTAGAAGTGATAGGGATGAGGCATAATACTATACGTTAGGGATCACTTTCGTATACAATCAACAATATCTGAGGCGCATACTAGTGGTACATGTGAGGTAGCATGTTGTAAGATTAAATCTAGAAATGGGTTGGTGACTATAGGGGGGAATATACCGTAGTCCGTATTGTCTGGTTGACGACTTTATCTTAAGACACGCCTGTTCTTGGAATACGGCAGAAAGTTGTCCCATCACTGGAGACTTCAACGCACCGTATATCAACTGAATAGAGCTTACAGCTCCAGGTGGGGGGTTTGATAGCGACCTTCTATCAACCATTATTCAGTGTGCACTTGTACAATGTATCGCAAAACGGACACATATTGACTTGGAATATGACCCGTCATTGCTGGACCTTGTCCTCACATACCACTGTGAGGATGTCATCGACATTTGGCACCTTCCCCCACTAGTGAATACTGATCACGTTGTACCTTACTTTAAGTTTAGGACACATGGTATACAATTTGTATCTGCCCCATCCCGTCCCCATATCTGGCGAGCTAATATTCCGGCAATCAGAGACTGTGCTATCTCGACTGACTGGTCGGTCGACGCGGATGGATCGATCAAAGACGAATGTAATACATTTAATGCCGAATTTGAGTCCGTAACATCACCGTTTATCCCACGGCCAACACTTAAGATATCACATTGCCCTTCATGGATTAATAAGAAAAGCCGGAAGCTGTTGAAGCGTAGGAAACATTTCTGGGACTTATTCCTGTCGACAGGACACGCATCATTCAAGTATGAATACTAAAAAATCCGGAATATATGTAAAAAGGCCATAGCTAAATTCCGTACTACTTACGAACGACAGTTGGCATATGATAGCCGTACTTGTTCGAAACGACTCTCTTTAGTATGTTAAACAGCGAACAAAAGATAGTGATAATGTTCCCCAATTGTTGTTACACGAAAACTCAGATTTACTGGCTGAATCAGATCGGACAAAAGCTGAGACTTTTTCAAACTATTTTAGCGAAGTCTACTCTACGTGTATTGTTACAAATACTTATCCCAATCACACCGAGGTATCATCCATTGAATCTGTACAGGTGACTGAGGAAACTGTTCTTCTATTGGTCACTAACCTCAAACCTTTAAGATGTTAGGCCCTGATGGGTTACATCCACGACTACCGTCATCCCTCGCGGACATCATTTCAAGATCACTCGCGATGCCCTTCAACATATCCCTTTCACTGGCTCAACTCCCTAGAGATTGGAAAGACGCTGTAGTTAGTCCTATATTTAAGGATGGTCAGAGACAGATCGTATCTAACTACCGACTTTCCAGTATTACCAGCATAGTCCTTAATTTATTTGAGAAGATAATTCCGGCTAACTTACCAAGTCATATAGATTCTCACAATTTGTTAACTCCCGAGCAACACAGGTTTTGAAACAAACATCCATGCTCGACTAACTTATTGCGAGAGGGGAATAGACGGCATCAATGTGACATTCATAGACTTTAACAAAGCGTTTGACAAGTTTTCATAAAAAGGCTATATGCAGAATCTCTCGAGCTTTGTGATAACAGGTGATGTACAGGAATGGTGAGAAAACTTCTTGTGTGATCATAGGCAGAGAGTGCAGGTTAATGGAACGTTATCCGAATGGAAACTGGTCAAAAGTGATGTACCCATCAATCTCTCTCTCTACGTTAAAATGCCGTGATGCTTAAGTCGTCGACATTATTGTTTGCGAATAATGTCAATCCGGAGAACAATAATGAGGTGATCTTAGATCTCCAAGTGACCAAACGAATTAACCAGATGGGCTTAAGTTGAGGCTTAGAAGTTTTCTAGGAAGTGTACTCATGCACGTCGTACACGGTTTACCAGTTATTGGTGGCCATTTCTTCCAGCTTTCAGAACAAAAGACTACTTAATGCAACGCAGGCTCAAAGGTTTCGTGCGTTAAGTCACTTCGCCGAGCTTTAAAGCTATGACGAGAATGTTTCGAATTTATCCTATGTAAGACCATACTTAGAGTACTTCCAAGCAGCTCCATGTCTGATAAAGATACTACTCACTTGAGCGTGGAACAAATTAGTGAAGGGTTTCTAAACCTTAAATGAGGTTTGAAAACTCTAACCTTACCTGTCGTGTAGTGAGGTGACCTTATGCGGCATTTCGTATCTATGATTGGGTGTTAATTATCTCCCTGCTCCCTCCAGCCTAAAAATCTCGTGGTCATAGCAAGAAGGTTCACAAACCGCGATAATAAACGTAGAGTGGGGTCCCTTTTCTCATCGAGTAGTCAATGCTGGGACGTCTTACCCGAACAAATGGTCAGCCCATCACTGAATAGCTGGAACTTTATGGAAGACAATCTTCTATTAACACAGGTTCACCAACCTATTTTATTACTGAAGACTGAAGAAGCCGAAGCGACTGTCTATATCAACCACAGAACAAGACTCATTTTGGACCCCAATCCAATAACAAAACGGCTGAATCCCAAAGATAAAGGTAGACGAAGCAGAAGTGTGTTGACACTTCGAACGCTTACTCGACAGCCTATTCTCACGAAGGACTAAACAAAGTCACCACACTACACCAATTATAACTACTGCCCAAACCTTTGTGACCAAAACCTAATGGAATTCGGGTGTTTCAGAATCTAGACAGTCCTGAGATTCGCGTAGCAAATCAGAATTGGCATCGCAGGAAACCGAAACACTCTAGTACTAGAGTGAACGTGTGAATTTAACGCCGAAAGACTAGGTAGCATCTAAGCCACGTTGACACAACTAAAACACGTGAATTGTGACTTGATACTGAAACAATTATTTTTCTGTATATCCTTAACACAAATCCTAACCTACTTTCTGTCTGTATCCTCTTGACCTTGGAAAGGAATGAGCTTTATTGAGCCCGCCTTTAGATTGTGTCCTTAGTCTTCACTCTTCAGTTTTCAGTAATAAGGATAGTAGGTTGGTGAGCCTGATTTAGTGTCCCGAGACCATACTCCGAGTACATCGTAATGAATGATTGTTATAGGAATATATATGTCGCCTATTCTCGCATATAATCATCGACTTAAATCACGTTAGTCGATAACGGAATTAAATAAGTCAAATAACGAGAATGGAAATGTTGAGTACATATATTTTGTATTTGAAGCAAATGGAATAGAAAGAAGCGAAACGACACTCATTAGAGATGGCAGGTAAGCCAAATCCCTTTGGTCAAGCATTATTCAATATTTATGGCCACACAAAAACAAGTTGCAAATATGTGATGGGTAATGGGATAAGAAGTGTACGCAGACATATGCGCCCATATAAAAACAGTCAAGATTGATGAGCGAATAATTAACAAGGTCAGAATGTGACTTAAAAAGAATGAATAGATTGGTTTGTCCGAAAGATAGAATAAGGCATATGGGCTTAACGTAGTACTGACACTACACTTTGTTAATCCTGACAGATTTCCTTCCAATGAAGGTCCAGCTTTTCTTTGAAAATGTTAACTGATGATGCAAATACCACTTGTTTGGGTAAGGCGTACTAGTCATTGACTAGTCGATGAGAAAGACGAGACCCTACTTTGAGTTCATTAGATTGTGGCTTGTGAACCTTCTTGCTATGACCACGGAGATTATTAATGCTTAGTCACTGAATATCGGATAGATCATCGATCCCTGTCAAAGTCAAGGACAACCAACGCGCATCGGCTAATCGCACGCAATGCACTGACCCATGCGATGGTGGTGCAGTTTCGCTTGTACCTACTTTAACTAATATTTCACTAATAACGTCCTTTGTGTTGCACGGCTTTCAAAGCATCCGTAGTACCTTGATGCGACGAAGAGGTAATCCACGTTAGGTTCTGACCTCGAGGTGCGACTTCGGATTTAGTTGTTTTGTCACACCACTCCCCTCTAAATCGAGTAGGCCCCCAATCATTCGACAGAGATCATCAAAGTTGATGATCTGCACTTCTGTGTGTCCAGTCTTTTCTTGAATGAATTGGCTTATAGTGTCTATACCACTTCCACGGATAACAGGTTCCGACAGTTAATTATGCAATGGAAGCACCTGTGTTTCACCTGTATTTTGTTCATCCTTCGCCTTCGAACTCGCCTGTTATGTCCTCTGAATTGTCTTGGTTTATTATGAGGAAAATCAAAGGATTGATCAAGTCAAAAATGTTGCATTAGTGTTTATTACACGGAAATTAGATCACCTCTTAATCTACGGTGAGGTAGATTGGAGAGGATTTACCTACCAAGACACCCTGTATGGTAAACCTAGAGATTTTGAAATTGTATCGGTTACTGTCCTTTGTCCTTTTCCAACATATCTCAGTCACCTTTTAAGCAGTGTTTGGCCGCATGAACTCAATTTTCATGTTTGGATCGCAATACGGTCGTGCATACTGTAGTTAACATATCTGTATTCAACTTGGCAATGTCCATCTGCATTAAGCCTGGTCAACCATTGTATTATTTGTCTACCCGCTGTAAATGTAAAATTATGTATGGATCTGGTTGAGCGCGTTCTGCACATCAATTTCCAATCTATTCTCTCATTGTTTGTGAACAAAGACAACCAATTATTTATCCACAATCGATTAACACCCATGAATATATATATATGGATTGTTAACACTCACTTGTTTTCCTGTTTGCTTGCTGTTTGTACGATTGCGAGTTTCACTAATCTTGAACAACAAACTATTTTTACAATTGGTGCTTGGGCTTTTGAATAATCTCGAGTAAATTCATGATACTTCTAGGGTATTTAGCCTACATCAATGCTCAGTTAATGGGATACTATTTATTGGAGTCAGATAGTGAGGAATTAACCTCCACACAACTTAGAGCTCATAGGGTTCTTAACCTCTTAGCTGCAACCACACAACGGTGGGTCGTCATCGTAAAGTCATGGCTCACTATTACTCCTAAATTATTTTGAGACAGAATTGAGGACGTTGACGATTTCCCAATGCTGTGACTATCTATTTTTTGGTATCTGATGCTCATGTAAAGACACTTGACCACAACGACAGATATTAGCTACAACTTCAACTAACCAGAATGTCTGAGTCGGCCTTTAGTTCATATGCACCTGGATCTCCTGTTACTTCTCAAACTGCTTCACCATAAGCTTAAAGTAACTTTGGAACATAACGATGCACAAGTGTCCGCTTACATGTAGTTTAGAAAGTAAGAGACCTAGAACAAAGCTTACAATACTCATCTAAGTATTTGTTTTTACGAAAGATATTCGGTATTTACTCTTATTTTTTGCCTGAGATCAGCCAAGGAATCTTTGATCTACTTTAGAATAGGTCCGGCAATTCCTGGATTTCCCAGCTTTAAAAAGGGTCTATTGCGTGGCAGCTTATAAAATGCTTTGCGAAGGTCGAGGTAGACCACATCCAGTAATTTTCCATTATCTAGCAAATCCATCCATCTCTTACTATAAGGTGTGTTGTGCAAGAAAATTCTTTTCTAAAGCCATACTGTCCATTGTTTAAAAAACTGGTTTCCGCTAAGGTCGTAAAAGCCTTTTTTCAGTATTCCGACTACAGTAATAATAATAATTTATTCCCAAACAACAGTTTGTTACATGAGGCATGTCAGTTTACATGTAAGATCAAATTGTTACAAGGGATACAGTTTTTACTGTAGTAAATTACTCAGCTGGGTTGATATTTTATAAGAAATGAATGTAGATGGTATGCACAGACATGTTACTCAAATTAGTTAACCGTACATAATTAAGCCGATAGGCCCAAAACATGAACTGTAGGCCAGTTAAACTTACCTAACAGAAGACAAAGGATATTGTTTTGAGACTGAGGACAACAGTCACTTGCTCATAAAAACAAAGTTTACGGCACAACAAACCTTTCTTCAGTAACATTATACAGTGACGGTCTATTTGCAGATAATCAACGATATCATAAATCTTATTGTGAATTGGGATATCATCCCATCATGCAATAAACGTACAGTGTAACGCAGTCGGATGTGGCGAACAAAAATTACAACCACAGCAAAATTCACAGCATAATCTAGTTATTTAATAAAAAATACATTATAAAACGACAAATTCTATGATAACATGAATGCGTACATGACCGTTATTACACTGGGCGGTACATTAGGTTTACATGGAAACATTGCGGATAAATCCACCCTAAGGATCATATTGTCACTGTCATAGTTGATGAGCTTTATGAAGGTTGCATTGCGACGTGCAACTGATGGTCGAGAATAGATCCATGTGAAGTTGGAGGCTCCTAGAAACCGCAACCTTATATCCCTCTGGAATATCTGAGGCTTTGATGATGGTGCAGGACGAAGCCACTCGTTCCACATCTGTTGCCGGTGGCATTGCGCCCTAACTACACAATCTTCAAAGCTGAACACTAGACAATCTGGAAAATAGATATTCGACATGTAACGCGGGAAGAACCCAATGATGGAGAAGGTGGAACAATGAATTGGATTAATTGGAGTTGATCGAATGGAATGGCTCGGCTTTGCAGGCGTGGTCCCAATCGAATGTTATTTTATATCTTTTATTCATACTAAACATATTGTTCTATCTCTAGCCTAAGCTTGTTCTACATCATGTATTGGTGATTGTTACAATACGATGAGTTGGTGTAGACGATGGCATGATTTCGACGTAAGATCTTATAGATTAGTCAGTTATGTCATGACAAGTCTACAATTTTAGGATTAGGTCTATTATTAGAGCAGTGCTAATAAAGAAGTAGACCATAATTCTACATTGGTAAGCCCGACTAAATAAACGCAACCTATTATTACTAATCCTCATTTCCGCTCTTTCTCGATCGATTTTTACTTATGTAAACCCATTATTCTAAAAGTCCTATGATTAATGCTCAAAAGTATTACCGTAATGTTATATTGAATAATACTCATAGCTTAATAATAAGAACTGGTCATCTATATTAATTATTAGCTTTGATGGTTTATTAACAAGCTTTAATAGCATTTACATTCTTCAGCGAAATAAACTTGTTTAAACACTAAGCTCTCGCAAATATGACCTGTAAATAAAGTAAATATACATCAAGTAGTAACGTAAGCAAGGACTAAATATTTAACTGGATCTAATTCTTCATATTCGGTTTCAATTAATTTTGGACTTGAACAAATTCAGTCTACAATACTGTGTTAATCCATAAATTTAATCAAAAGTACCTCTTATGTAATCCAGATTCAAACCACTGTCTAATTCAAGTTTTTATTACTTGGAAGCGAGAATAACCCAGGCGAGTTTTGACCTTTTTCACTTTCTTGGTTCATTTACTATGATTCAAGCACTTCTTAATTTATATAGATTTTTCCCATTAGACTGGTAGTATATACTTCAAAGCAGCCACTCCCAAGACTTTTTGGTAGAAATATTTAATACTTTTATACTATAACATACTGTTAAAAGTAAGTGTGTTGTTAAAGACATTTCTTAGTCCCAGTTGCTTTTGCCACATATTAGTAAATATCACTAGGTTAAATGCAGGATCTTCTTATGGAAAGTTTATAACGCGTCGTATTTCTGCCTGAAGTTACATAAGTAGTCTCACCTTCAAAATTAGTTTTCTCCTTATATTCATTGTTTTTAAATTTTCATATACCTCCATAACCTGCATGTTAGTCTGGCTCGTACATGCTTTGTATTATATCTCTATGTCTTTTAAATTTAAAAATCATTTGAATCGCCCTTAACATTTTTCAATGAACCCATTATAGTCGTTGTTGCTATAGGTATTTGGGTTTATAAATTGGTCTATCATATTATTAGCCTAATAACATTATGTTTTAAATAATAAAGTCACCGAATTTAGGTACTAGCATACTGCACTAGTATAATAACTAAACTCTTAGGTAGTTGTTAGCCAAACATCTAAAATTAAAACTCCGGAACCTACTACGAAAATTAACATTAGACGAATATTTTTGAATTGAAATTTATGATATAATTAGGCAGCTCGGATTCTTTGACGCTACAAACTTCTGATAATTTCTATGCACCTAAAGCAACAATACCTATTTTTCCACTGGCTAATCCCCAATCAACACTGCAATTAGTTAGAGATATTGGTTTCAGGATTTTTAAATAAAGTATTGTCATTACTTGACAATTACGTAATATGATTGATAAAATTAATGAAACTATTACCAAAATCGGTCGGCAAATTGACTTATAATTATCATTAATTAGTGTCGCTCTTCTTTTATTTTCATTCACTACAGATGATTACAGAATGTTTCTCTATCAGTTGCTCATTCAGTAAATATCTCAAATCCTTGTCAGTCCAGTTGGAGGTTTAGCGACACAATCATGCATGCAAATAATCAGTATAAGCAGTCGAGCAAATCTCCTCCAAACCGAAAACACCAATGTCGAATTTACCCCAACACTGACTAGGGTTCAAGCCATAATCATAGACATGAGTTGGGATTGTACTCCCCTTGGTTACAACTTATATTCGACCTGATAATCACATAAGCATCACTCACTGTTAATTACCTTGTAAAAACTTAGTTAGCCAGATACATCTTGCGGCACCACATCACCTAGAAATGTGACACATAGGTTTAGTTGATTTCAACAACTTTAATCACTATAACTCAATTAAATCGTATTCCGCCTTATGTTAAACTGCACCATTAGCCGGTAGGTATGAATGTAAATAAATAGTCTACGGCAAATCAGAACACTGAGTCTAGAGCATGTCTCTTACAAATACACTCATGTTTAACGAACTGCTCTTAGTTATCTGTCCAAAAGTACCATAATTTTTACTGTTTTCATGCACTAGAAATCTTTTGATAACCATTCGTATCTATTAGTAGCATTACTAAGTTCTATCACGGTCAAGTAAAAATGAGGTCGAGAAAATATGTACTACCTATAGGTTAAGTTATTAAGCAACGGCTATTACTACGCATCTTACGGCGACTTATTAAAATATCCGTTTATGCAGTCATCTTACTATTATTATAATCCCACTTTTTAGCTCAAATAATCTACCTACATTTTCATTTTGAAGATAAATGATCATTATAAATACTCAACTTAATAGAACCAGAATTACAAGACTTAATATTAGTTGTAGCAAGATGAATAGTTGTATTACTAACTGACTGAATATATCCAATATCACCACATTTAAAGCACCCAGAATTACGAAATTTACAAGAATTAAGAGAGTGGAACCTGCCACAGGACAAACATTGACCAACCTTGTGCCCATTTTCGTGAACTGCATCGCAACTCCTTCATGAATTATCTGCATAACCTTCAGTATGCACTGGGTTAGGATGACGTGATGCAGTGGAATTTTTTATATCCTCATAAATCATTTTTCGAAATCTTCCCCCTTTACGACATTTGAAATTTGCACGCTTAACATAGTCTAGCAGTAGATCCTTGAGAGTTGTATAAGAAAGCGAAATGGGCTTTTCCGGTAAAGCCAGAGTTTCTAATAAGCTGTATGCTTCTTTTCCGATGAATGTGAGGAAATGTGCTACAATATTAACATCCTCATCATCTTCCTTGGTCATACCCCAGATTTCGAACCTTTCAAAATAATCCTCGAAAGCATCAAAATCTGAATGTTGTCCAACCGTTCCATCACAGGCTCCATCGCGACGCCAATATGATGATTAGAAGTATTTGAATTATAGTATGAACTAAGAATCCCAGAAATAACGTAATCGGATCATGAAATACTCGATAAACACTAACGAATGTACTGTATTTGAAATTCGAAATCAAGCATTCAACAAGTACAAAGGAATCATTATTCCATTCAAACATCACAGTAACCCAATTCTTGGTTCCTAATATTCTCACTTATATGTATATATTTCTATTTTTTCATGAAAGCTATGCTGCAAAAATCGTTTTTACGCTATTGAGTGTTTACGAAACGCGTGTATATGAGTTTGTTTTGTTTACCCGCCCACTTTGTGTCTTTACACGCACAAGAGTGTAATCGAACATACACTCACATATCCTTTTTTTCTAGGGCGGCTAGAAAAGACGGAAAAGAAACGACGAGGTTTACGAGCAGTCAAAATATTCACTGCACGTGTTTTTTATTACTATATTGTACCACTTGGCCTCTTGTAATAAGGAAAATTACCAGACACCGCTGAACATAGCAAGCTATCAGAAACGTGTTTACCAACGATAAAATCTTTGGGTTTAAACTTCTGGCTGGCCACGTTTTAGGGTCATCACTACCCCACTAGGGCAAATGATCTGTGGCGGTAAATAAATCCCCAAAACAAATAGCTCTGTAAGTCTTCGACATTTAATGCCGACCGCATTGGTTTTAATGGACCCTTCTAGCTGAAGGCACTCGGCTACGTGTCCACACCAGATCACAGGTGGGTGCACTGTGCTCAACTTCTCCTACATCGGTTAGCCAGATAATATCAGTCACTTTTGGATATATTAATGGCTTACCAACCACATCTTGGAACCTCTCTGTTTCTGACTTCTGATTTCACTGGGTTGGGACGTTTCAATTATAGGAGGTGTTACTGGTTAAGTTGTTGTCAAACCCCAAATACTTTTGGGATTTTCAAAACCAATTTACGGTTCGAATCAGTGAGTTATAGGACTCCCTACATGAAGTTATAGTAAAAGAACCCTCTACCGAGACTTTCGAAAGAAGGGTCAACGATGACCTTAGTCTTATAGATAATAAGAGGTACTACTTTGGATGTTACTTTTCGACCACTCCTGCTTTCAACTCAATTGTTTTGTCCTTCAGTTTCTTGTAGGAATATAACAAGAACCATGTATTCCCACTATCAAACTGTTTTTTTAATATCCAGACGCAAGTCTCAAGTAACAGATGTTTCGCCTAATTTTCCAAGTTGAACCTGAACTTTATAATTTTCATTGTTCAGCGGGAAGACGATCTCTTCAAGGTCAAGTTGCCGTCGTCTTTTCACGTGGTGACTATCTATTTCCCTTTCTAGGCTTTGGATATTAAAAGATGGTCAGGAAATGCTTAAGTAAATTATGAGTATTAATATTACTCTGCCTGTAGAAAACAAAAGTAAGCGCGTAACCTGTCACAAGCGATACAAAATTATCAAGAAGGTAAATTCATAGATGTTTGTTCAAATACTGGTTAGGTAAAAGAGCATCACCGCAAGTTACGTAAGGAAGCTAAAAAGAACTTAAACCGACATCGTAGGTTTTATAATTTTAATTCTCAATGATTTCAGGAAAGGATCCTGGTGTCCCTAACATTCTACCCTTCAAAGAAAGTTTTCTGAAAGATGTTGCCGAAGCAAAAATGAAGGTAACGTATATTATTCTTGATGAATGGTTTAGCTAGAAGAAGCAAGACTTAAAAATATAGAGTATTCTCAAACTTATAAGTCTCTGAAACATGAAGATGTTCCTCACTCAACAGTTCAGCACGATGTTAAAGACGTTATAAACCAGTCTGACGTTATATTGGAAGTATTGGATGCACGTGATCCAATGGGTACGCGCTGTCCAGAGATAGAAGAAACTGTCCTTAGGGAGAATAAACGTTTGGTTTTGCTCATCAATAAGATTGGTAAGTGTTACATAGGTAACCGTTTTAGACCTTGTTCCGCGATCCAATCTCGAGGCTTGGGTAAATTACCTACGCAAAACTCACACGGTCATAACATTCAAGGCAAATACGCAACGCCAGAGTAACCATCTTTCGTGTGGAAAACCATATCTTCTGAAAGATGGAAAAATGTAAGTATTTAAGGTTTTAATTTGTTCAGGCCAAGTAAAGGGTTCGGAACTTCTGAATTATTGTCGTTGCTTGCAAACTACTCCCGTGATCCAAGCTCCAGTCTGTCTAACACTAACACTCGTCTTAGTTTGACTGTTGGTGTCGTCGGCCTTCCGAATACTGGCAAAAGCGCACTCATAAATACCCTTAAAAGACAAAAGGTGTGCGTCAGTGGTAATGTTCCCGGTTTAACACGGTAGTTGTTGGTATTTATTTGATTATGAATTTAGTCAGTCTCAGCGTGTACGAATTGACAAGAACCTATTTCTTCTCGATACTCCGGGTACCTTGATTTCAAAGTCATCTGATGCTTCAGATCTTGTGTTAAAAAATTGTATAAAAGTAAGTGATACTATAAAAGTTTTTTGCTTAAACTTCACTTTTGGAATGTCGGCTTATAGTAATTAGTTATAACTAATGTGTACTCCGGTACAAATTTGGGTCAGGCCAGTTGACTATAGGATTCAACAGGACGCGATGAAATTACAATAAATCGCAGTCGATGTAGTAGTTGTATCAATGATTGTAGAAAAAATAAAAGCCCGAGAATATAGTCCTTTTATTTAACTGACGTTTATTTTTTATGTAGAATATTTTGACATGTATGTGTGACCAGACTTTTCTAAATGTATGGCCTAAATACATTACATTTCTCAGTCCAACTCTATTTGGTGCCCTATTGTACCACTATTTATGTGTTCAAGTAAATAAACATTTTCATCCCATTTGGCTGGAGTCAATATGAGTATAATTAGAAACGAAAAATAAACAACGGCGTCATTTTACAATACCAGCCGCTGACAAAAGTGCAAGGAACATAATAAGGAAATCGCAAAATAACTTTACACTAAATTTAGCTCTACTATCCACATTTCGAATTGTGATTCTATCTGTGACGTGAATATAACAGTTTCTATTGGGTTTTAAATAGCAACGCTAGATAATGTATAATAAACAGCGTTCCATTCCAGTGGGATACTTTTAACAAGATTAACTTCACATATGTATATACTTTTTGTTGTCCAAAATACACTCTTTGAAATCAGTTTTTAGGAGTAAAGAGACAGTGTTTACCACTTCATATTTGTGAAACCATCTAGGATGTTAGCTTGTCATCAGTTTTTCCGTCTCAGTTAACATTATCAATACGTTTTATCAGCAGCTACTAATTTTGCAACTGTTTTTTCAAACTTTTTAACAGCCAGAAATGCTCCCGGATCCTGTTCCAGCTGTTGAAGCCATATTGCGTCGTTGTTCACAAGCGCAACTGGTTTCTAAGTATAAGATTGAAGAGTACAATAATGTTTCAGAGTTCCTAGTTAAGTTAGCACACCGTTTGGGTCGAATGAAAAAGGGTGGTATTCCAGACACCACCATGGCAGCGCGTTCTGTAATTAATGATTGGATTATGTAAGTAACCTGTTGCTGTGACATTCTTTTTAGTGGAAAAATCACTTACTACACGGAGCCTCCGTATACTGATACTGTGGAAGAAAATCTCGATTTATCTTTAAAAGGTAAGTTAATATTTTCTACAAAGCAATCTGAATTTCTCAACATAAACATTCTTTCATAAGCATCGCTAAGCTTCACCACCATCGTTTGTTTTTAAAGCAGCTTTTGTATGGGACAATTTTTTGAGTTTAGAAATATCATTTTTCCAAAAGTGATACAATGCCCGTCTCTACCGCCAATCGATACGTTCGTGCGCTGTGGTAATCATTCGCGACTTGACTTAAATACTGTGGATTTAGCTACTTATATCCTCTTCTTTTCTCTGCCCTATTTACTTATGCCTATTACCCCTTGCGGGATAATAGGTCACCGACTAAGGTTCTTCAACTCACCTTTCCAGTTGTTTCCGACTGTCATTCATTCTTTTGATGTCTGCTTCCAATTCCGGGAGCAATGTGTTCCTTGGTCTTCTACTTTTCCTTTTGCTTTCAGGATTCCAGGTTAGCGCCTGCCTCATGATGCAGTCTAACGATTTTCACAATCTGTTTCCTCTCCACTTCCAACATATTTCCTTAAATTCTACTTCAGCTGGAAGCTGGTTTCTTATCTGACTTATTATGTTTTTGCTGATGGTGTCGGGCCAACAGACACGAAGTGTCTTGCATAGACAATTGTTCATAAATACCTGTACCATTTTGATGATGGTTGTAGTAGTCCTTTATGTTTAAACTCCGTACAATGAAACCGTCTTGATCTTTGCATTGAAAATTCAGACTTTGATGTCGGTTGACAGACAGTTGTTTTAAGTCGTAGATGTTCTCCAGTTACAGGAATGCCGTCCTTGCTTTGCCGATCCTTGACCTCACATCTTCATCAAATCCTCCCTGTTCATCGATGGTGCTGTTCAGGGTACGTGAAAGTTTCTATATTTTCTCTATCAAGTGTGATTGGGTTGCTGTTCTCTGAGTTGTATTTCAGGATCTTGCTTTTCCCCTGTGTATGTTAAAGCCTACTGCTTCAGAGACTTTTGCTACATTGACTGTCTTGACTTACATTTGCTACTGTGTATGAGAGCGGAAGGTTACGTTATGTGTGAAGTTCAAATCATCTAGCTCTATTTAAGCGCTCCATTGTATTTCGTGCTTCCCATGAGACATGGTAGTATTGATAATCCAGTCAACCATTATATGAAAGAAAGGGCGAGAGTAAACAGCCTTTTCTGACTCCGATACTCACTTGGGTTGTATCTGTGTTACGTCCTTGATCTGTCTACCCACTTTTGGTTCTGAGGGTAACTTGTCTAATCTAGATTAAGATTTTAATGCGATAGGCTGACTGGCTTAACCTTGAGGCTAGCATGCGTGAGTTCGAAGTAGGGTAGAAAGAAGAAAACTATTCTATCACCTGATTGGCTGACAAGTGAGAGAAGACAATTCAACTGGGACACTACTCGACTTATAACCAATTCCGATCTGGTTCCCGATTTCAGATCAGTGTAAAAAGGTACATGAATAAATAGATGACTAACCGGAACACAACGTACAATAATTAGGAAAATATAATTATGTCCAAAACTGGAGATTAGCGTGGAAAATAGAATACAAAATATTACGTTTAAATTACAATAGTTTTGGAACAGAAAGGGCTATGGCAGTGAATTACGCATCAAACGAAAGCTTATGATCTGTAGAATAGAGTAGAAACAAAAATAAATATTACTGTTTTACAAGTTTTGAATTAAATGATATAACGTCCAAAAAAATAGATTCCACAGTTTGTCAAGGCTTCTTGTTTCTCTGTTCACATCAATCTGTTAGCTGCCCTGTATGCACCACTTTGCAGTGTGATCCGTCGTATGAATCTCGTCTGTTGTTGACGATCTCAGGTACACTGTAGTGTCAAATAAGGCTTCATAAGGTTCTCCTATCCACACTGTCAAATGCTTTCTCTTGATCAGGGAAGTTAACGTATGTTGGCGAGTTCCATCCAACCGATTGTTCAACAATGATAGAATGGCTAACGCTTAATACGATGTCACCAAAGTATACCATTTTTATATTGAGCCAGCGTGTTTAAATACCTCATTTGTAGTTATCCAGCTTTCTATTGAGACAGATACCAACACAGTCGTGAACAAATATGCGTTGGCCCAAGTTTCTATACCATATTAGCACGACAAGAGATAAAAATAATGTTGTAGCAATTCTAATAAGAAAAACAAAGTGAAAAAGTCTGTATGAAAGAATATTCAAATTCAAGATCGATTGGAAGATAAGGACTGGATGCACCCGCACTATTGCGAACGATTCTGAGCAATGTTACCCAGTCTCCATCCATTAATAACCGTTGTCGCACGGACCAACCAGTGAATTTGAGTCAAGTCACCAATTAATGAACTGGTACCATGTTCTAGTTTTACCGCCCCTGACTTTTTTTCAACCTACGACTATGCCATTAAACATCGCCCGTCAAGGTAAGTTGTGGTCAGCCATTATTGACACATGTCTTAACAGCCTTAGTTGATGTTTCACCAACGGATTTGCCCCCTCTTCCAAATATCACGCCTAACCTCAAAATTGCCATTACGTGCGACGCAAATAATGTTTCTATTAGAGACTAGGTATAAACCTATAGCTAGCTACTAAGTCATTGTTAACGACACTTCTCATCTGCCTAAGAAAACTGCGCCGACTCCAGTGTGCCCTGCGAAAAGCAGCTAATTTATCATGACTCTTATAGACTTCCCAATTGTATTTACAATGTTGTAAGACATGAGTTTTGAGTTTTTAAATGCGTTCTAATTCGTATTTTTCAGACAATGCAATGGATATCTCTGAATTTCCGACAAACTAATAGATGTAAATGTTTGGGAGTGTAAATATAACATTTAATGTATTTTGCTTTGACTGTTAAAGATTGATTTTCAATCATTGTTACATGGTTGATAATCGTTGCAATCCTGTGCAGATGTATTCGTTTCCACGTGGTCAATTTTTTAATTATGTGCTTAAATTACTTTCCTTACTGGCTTCATTTTAGGAGACCGTTGCTAACATATTATATAAGGTCAACTGGTGGAGAATTCTTGTATATTTCAGTCGTGATTTTCATCCAACTGGGACTAGTTCATGATGCAAGTTACCTTCGAAAATCATCACTTATTTGTATTTAGTAGTGTGTATTATGAGAAGCATGTGCGACTATTCAATTCTGTAGATGCATAAGTTTGTGAAAACTGAGAAACATGCAACAAATGTTGGATACTATGTATAGGTCTCGACCTAATTTTCACTTTGATTCCGTAGACTGCTACAGCTTGAATCTGTTCATCTTTGGGTTAGATTCTACGTTTTATTGAATAAAGAATGGAAGTCATGGTAGCACTTCGATGTAGTCGCGAGCTATAGAAATGGCTCTTGTTTTTTCATTTGCAGCTGTATACGAATGATTGGTGTGATTTTAGTGATAGTAGCACCAGCAGATAAATCAGCTAAGCTCGTGAGCTCTTGAAACCTTAGTAGAGGTAGTCTAAGCAATTAACCAGCATTCTAAGTTTGTGTATTTGTAACTCATTTTCAAGTGCAGTGTCGAGTCACCTAGACTGTTGGCCACATTGCAACATGATCGATAGCATTCGATCTGCACTAATAAGGACTAGACAAGCATGACATTGATCACCACCCAGTGATCAATCAATTGTGATTACATCTCAGTCCTACAGGAGGTTAGTCACGGCTCGGATAGCTCAGTGGTAACGTCTCTGACTGTGAAGCTGAGTGACACGAGATCGAATCCGGCAGGGAGCATCAGTTACCTCAAGATTACAGGTACACCTTGCTGACGAAACCCGGGTCCAGGGTTTCCTGTTGACTACCTCCAAACACCATCTAAATCTCAAACATACAAGGTTTTAAGAGTATTTTGACCGTTCAACTGACAGTCAGTGACTACTAACTAAAAATTAAGAGATATGCTCGTAGGGAATTTACCATCGCTTCTTGATATAATCCTGATTTCCCGATAAATCTAATGAACGCTAATTCACTGGTTAAAACAATGTATCATTTTACAGTTATTCTGTTGAAGTCAGTAATATCACGAAATAAGTTAATATCACAGGAACGTCAATTAAGACATCTAAATCTCAGCTACAACGTAGGACCAGGCACTAATATGCATCGGTCCAAATTGCCATGCCGCATTAGCACAGCAAGCTGGACACCGGATTCATAGAAGTAGTTAAGTTAGTGGTGGTAATATATAAAAGAAAGATTGCATATAACGAAAGAGTACAGGAAAAAAGATATGAAGCGATTTTAATCTCATAGTTTAAGGGAAGACAGAGTGTACACACCTACGCCATTGTGATCGATTCTGAGCCATGTCACCAAGAATCTCCAACCATTGGTTACGATAGTCACGCGGACCCCAACCAAGTAATCTGCATCTACCAACATGGCTAAGACTAGAAGTTAGTGACTTCAAGCATTGATGCCACGTTTTGGTTTGGCTGCCCTTAACTTTCTTCCAACCATCTCCAACACCGGTTAGCATTGCACGTCGTGGTAATCGGTGTTCAGGCATACGTAACACGTGGCCCAACCATCTCAGTTGATGAAGATTAACAACCTCATCAACTGATTTACGGGTATCTTCAACTCTTAATGGCCACGTTTCGCAGCCGTAAAGTAAGACAGAATGGACTGCCGCGCAGTATACTCGTCCTATTGATAGACGGATATCTCGTTTTCGCCACAGGTGACGTAAGTTGGAGAAAGCCGAAAGAGCTTTCTCAATACATGCAGAGATTTTGGCAGACACCAACTCATTAGAGCTGATAAGACTTCCAAGATAAGTTACGTTGTCGACTACTTCACTCCCTATCCTTAATTCAGGTGTTGACGCAGACCAATCCTGAAGCAACAACTTGCATTTACAGGGAGAGAAGCGCATTACAAACATATTGGTATTGTTGCTCAGCGCTACCAAGACTGCATTTTATCAACGTGTTCACCAAACAGGACTATATCATCTGCGTATTCCAGGTCGACAAATGAACCTCCCGGAAGATCGATTCTTGAAAATTTAGTCGACGACGTTATTTTCAGCAGTAGGTCTATGATAAAGTTGAACAAAAATGGAAATATCGGAAACCACTTGAGTTTGCAAAAGCAGATGACAGTTTGCCATAATCTCTGACTCGACTGGTAGTGTCCGAGTAAAGAGCCTTCACAAGGTTTATGTACTTCTGAGGTACGCCTTTCAATGACAGACACTTCCACAGAACCCCTCGGTCTACAGAGTCGAATGCTGCTTTTAAGCCAAGAAAGACCACCATTGTCGGACGCCGATAAGTATGCCTGTGTTCTAGAACCTGACGAATGGTGAATATGTGGTCGATGCAGCCACGACCAGGTCTGGAGCAAGCCTGAGTTTTTCGTGCTCGTAGTTTACTAATCTTAGGCGACTGATAATTGTTGACGCTAGTATTTTAAGTGCTGTTAGTCAAACTAAGCCCTCTATTTTCACAGGATAATTATGACCCTCTCTTACATATTAGGACGATCAGTGATTGTGACCAGTCAGATGGGATAACGCCCAACTCCCAGATTTTAGCTAAAATATTAATCAACCTAATCGCTAAAATTGGACCACCATCCTTAAAGACCTCTGGAGTCAATCCATCTGCCCTTCCTCGCATCAAATTAACTATGGCCTTTTGAACTTCAGCGAGAGTTGGGGGACCTACTTCAATGTTCCATTCACACTGTCTGTGAATGGAGGGTAGTTGTAGAGTAGCTGAAGACCAGTTGAACTGCTCCTTAGAATATTCAGCCCATCGTTCTAAAAGTCTGGGCTGAAAGCAGATGAGGGCGTCGTCTTTTTCCGAGATAGTCTCACTTCAACTGGACTTATGAATTCCAGTTTCTTTTATTAGTCTAAATCTCTCTGCATGATGCAAACCAAAAGTAGTGACCTAGTGTTGTTTCGGCCGCTAGACTCTTCTCGACTTATTCATTTGGTACGTATTATACTGTACCTGAGTGGGGTGAACATAAATAACATGGCTGAAATTCTACAACTACATTAACCTTTATAGTGCAACGGTGAAGCGGTTGAATAGTGGTTACTCAATTTTTAGTCAGTGAGCGTTTTCATATACTTATCAACCTAGTTCGATTTATGTTACGGGATAGTATCACTAGCCCCAATAGAAACGATGTGGCCCAAAGCCGATTGATGATTTAGTTTATTAACCATGTATGGATTTATGTACTCGGAGCTTTGAGCTACAGTTTGTGTGACAGAGTACATGAACATGAATGTAATAAATAAGGTAAATCATCATCCCTTACCTGTTATTAATGTGTGACACCCATGCCCGAACCCGATGATTGAAATTGAGGCAATAAGTTATATATTATTACAGTTAAACACAATTCGCAAATGTTTACAAGAAGCGATGAAATTACATTTTGAGAGTCTGAGACAAAATACATGTGGATAAATATGTGAAATTATACAGAATATCTTATAACGCGTGAGACTCGAAAATTATTTAGTCCAAGAAACTTTCTGTATATCGAAGTGTTCAGTGAGAGTGCTCAGGTAGTTGTTAAATTCAATTATCCTTTGTTTATGCGATTTATCTGCCTTCGACAGCACAGATTCCAATATACGTTTGTCTCTACGTTTCTCCCACTCTACTTGAGACTTAGTTAGATTTGCATATATAGGCTTTGAATTCTTCGCTTCCTTGACAGTTTCATCGTTTGAATTCACTTCAGACGTATTGACAGCCACTTCGAGATCGTTTGGTGCTAACTTTTTGCTATGCTTTTTCTTTTTTCTAAAAAAATATTATGGTAAGGCTACTTACTTTTTTATTCCTTGCCCAGATTTGAGTTTTAGAGAACTACATAAAACATCATCATAATCTGACATTTGTTGGGCAACAGCCAAGATCAAATTTTATAGAACAGAAGGAGCACTGAGACACGAGTCAAATCAAATTGCTTAAGCAACTGGAATTTGAAAATGAAAACTTATTGTTCCGTTCCTTGTATCAACCTGCAAGCAATTACATAGAAACTTGTCTTAATATCTTTAGAAATGAAAAGTAAACGTCTGAATCTTTCAACGCGCGTTGTGAACAAACGGTTAAAAAGGTTCGACTTTAGTTATGTTAACCAGTCAGTGGTAATGTTTTAGCCTAATAAACAAAACTTTCTGATATTGTATTTGAGTTACAAGTTTGACGGAAATTTGGTAAGAATTGTAATTACATTCGCCACTAACAAATCGATTTATTTTCGGTCAAACCAAGAAAACATCGTTTTGAAATTAGTTGGCATATAAGCTGAATTGTTGCTTTGTGCCAGTTTTATATAAGTTTGTATTAAGGTTTGCGAATAGTTAGTCTCATTTTGGATCGTATTCAGATTGACTCAGTGCGATAAAGGTTACCAGTTTAGTTTAGAAAAGAGCGCACACCCGATTTCCTGCTGGCATAATTTATAACAATACTAATTGTGATGTGTGTACATTAGTTTGCTAGTGGTGGAACCTAAATTTTAGAGGACTTATCAACCGCAGAATAGTGAGATCTATAGACAGATATACTGGAAAATTCTTCAGGTGGAAAAGGGTAAAGAAGATTATCATTTTTGGTGTTGCATAAAATCCGTATTTACTATTGAAGAAAATTTTCGCCGAAGCCAAGATTCACAATCGTCAATTGACTTAAGTAGATCTATGTATGGTTTCTTGAGTTAAACACTGGATTCCATAAAATTTACCGCATAGTGTGCATGTGCGTTGTTTGGATACTCACTTAGTAATCGGGATCACCATAAACATGTCAAACCTATACGGCTTTGAACAAGTTTTGTGTCTAGGTTTAAACATGATGGGGAATACTGAAATAGCGTACCAAATAATATAAAAAACTTTGCGTTTATATAGTGAAGCAGCCTCAAGAAAACCAAAATATAAACATTACTTAAAAAGGTGAGACTATAATTTATGGACCTTTGAGCGACGTCAGGCTGACCTTGAGTGTTCACCTAATAACCAGGACTAAATGAGGGTTATAGACCTGTGTGAGGAATTCGAATTATGATTTACAGAGTTAATGGTTAGGGTTTAGAAATCAGATTCAAGCT